AGATGCAGGTGATATGGTTGCCCACTCCCTATGAAATCCATCATATTTATATAGACAATATGTACAGTGCACTCAAATATTTGTGAGCCACACACTGCCTGATAATAGCTTTGTAAGCACCTATGCAATATCAACACACCATACCAGTACAGGAGTTGGTAGCATCGAATTCTACCTCACAGTTTTTTCTTTTCCTTACATTTAAGCTTCTGTTGGCCAAAGTTTTAGCAATGGAAACGCTATAAAGAGAATTATGTCCAAATGTGAGGATCTGGGAATTAGTCTTCTCCAGAACACCATTCACCTTCTTCATTCATCGAAGCGAGATTACATTCTTTTTAAGAAGGCATAGATCTTCCTCGACCTCGTGCTGCGGAAGCCGGTGAGAAAGAATCCGCAAGTACTGCCTGAGGTAGTGCACATGGGAAGCGCTCTACACTGGCCCTGCACATCAGTGTGAGACCAAACAACTTACGGGAAGGAACTGGGTATCTTCTCTTTATCACCAGATTACCTTTGGTAATCTGGTGAATGTTCAGTTTGTGGATAGGGCCAATCATTCTCTAGCTGGCAGTTAATTATAGATATTGAGGAAGCACTAAACCCGCAGGAATCATACAGAACCTGGAGAAATAAGAGGGAATCAGGTTCGATACAGGGAAATATAGATAGGATTCATGTCCTTGGATCAAGAACCCCTCACTGGCGTCATGTAACTTCCCTTGAGGGACGGGGGGGGGTCAGTCTTACCAAAACTGCCAATATGTCTACAAGCCACGAGCAACCACAAAAATATAGAACCAGGCACCGAGCTACTAAAAACTCAAGCTGGGAGGTGGATCAGAGCCACACCCGTCTGAGCCTCCAGAGCTTGGAGTTCAGTCTGGCTCCTGAAGATCTGAAAACAATTTTGGGGTCAGTGCTTCAACACAACGGTCACCACATTCCATCTAGGCCATGGGGCAACAAGGGGCAATGCTGACATTCCCAGACCATGTATGCAGATCAACATCAGTGTTCTTCTGGGGTGGTTGCTGCCGCAGAGACCAGAAGGAATGAATGCCTCGACAGATTTTTAAGACAGAGCAAAGGAGAAGTTGAAAAAAAATAATGTCCGATAGAATAAAATTATTGTTGTTATAATCAAGGGGGAAGCGCTAAATTCGTAGGATTATACAGCGCCTGTGGGGGATGAGGAAGGTACTCAGGCTTAATTCAGGGAACTGGAGCATATATCCAATTCCCTAGATCAAGAGCCCCTCACTAGTATCAAGGAACCTTCCTTGAGGGGCCGATAGACTAAAAGAAGTCGCTGCCTCAGTGCTGAGCACTAACATGTTTCCCTCAGTGTGTACCATAACCACCATGCTCTGTACACACCTTTATTATGGTTGGCCCAGAATTATCAAAGCAAGGTTGATTATTATAATAAAAAAGAAGCGATGAATCACAAGGGCTAAAGCAAGGTTGAGTAACAACCGTCTCAATAGGCTGGAAGCACCAGAGGAGCTAGCAGTATTTGCCTAGTACCGGGCAGTGGCAACGAACCAGAATACTGAGACTTGTACGTCACGCCTGAATCTGCAGGCAACCAGTGGTAGTACTTCCACATTCACCCACCAACTGGTCCACCAGATGGTCCATCTGACGGTCCACCAACTGGTCCATCTGATGGACCAACTGACAAGTGCAATGCCTATTGGGTGTTTTGAACAACCTCAATATCAAGAATCAGCTTTCATCTTTTCCCGCTGAGTCTGAGTCACCTCTGGTGGTGGCGGGGGATGAACGGCTTTGCCTGATAAAGAATCCAGGAAGAAGGATCTAACCTCCAACGAATCACTCAGTCTTTAATTTAAAAAAAATTAAATCCAAAGGAGAGAGAAAGCTCCAATTCAGTGTTCCAAAAGCACTTGTACATTAGGGAACCCCATCGAAGGGTCACGAAATAGGAAAAAAAATATCCATGCACGACTAACACGGAAAGGGTTACTGGGTTCTTGGTGCTCGCAATAGAAGGAAGGTCCTGGCAGCAGCGGAGGGCAGGTGTGGCGGTGGTGCAGGGCAGGTGTGGTGATGTTGGATGTGAATGAAAGCGAGGTGGTGATTTTAGAGGAAAGGTGTGGTATTAATGGGAATGTGAGGTGGTACTAGCAATGGTGGTAAGAGGGAAAGTGTTAGAGCTGAGGAAGGAAAAGTGGTGATGGTGGTGGTGCTAGCGAAAGGGTGGTGTTGGCAGTGAAAATAAGGGTGGAAGGAAGGTGTAATGGAGGGAAGGAACAGCGGAGGGAAGGTGTAATGGAGGGAAGGTACAGCGGAGGGAAGGTGTAATGGAGGGAAGGTACAGCGGAGGGAAGGTGTAATGGAGGGAAGGTACAGTGAAAGGGAAGTACGGAGGATGGAAAGTGTAATGGAAGGCGTAGTGGAAGGAAAGTGTAGTGGAGGGAAGGTGCAGTGGAAGGAAAGTGCAGTAAAGGAAGGTGTAGTGGAGGGAAGGTGTAGTGGAGGGAAGGTGTAGTGGAGGGAAGGTGTAGTGGAGGGAAGGTTTAGTGGAGGGAAGGTTTAGTGGAGGGAAGGTGCAGTGGAAGGTGTAGTGGAGGGAAGGTGTAGTGGAGGGAAGGTGTAGTGGAGGAAGGTGTAGTGGAGGGAAGGTTTTAGTGGTAGGAAGGTGAAGTGGAGGGAAGGTGTAGTGGAGGAAGGTGTAGTGGAGGGAAGGTGTAGTGGAGGGAAGGTGTAGTGGAGGGAAGGTGTAGTGGAAGGAAGGTGTGTGGAGGAAGGTGTAGTGGAAGGAAGGTGTAGTGGAAGAAGGTGTAGTGGAGGGAAGGCTGTGGTAGTACCAGAGATGATGAGTGTGCGTGCGGTGGTGTGGTGGTTGTGCTGGTGGTCGTGGTGATAGTGAAGGGAAAGTGGTGGTGGTTGGGGCTGGTGCGGTCATAGTGAGGGAAACCGTGGGGGTTTGCGCTAGTGGTGGAAGTGAAGGAAAGGTTGTGTGTGGTGGTGGAGGAAGGTGTGGTGGTGGTTGTGGATGGATGGTGTGGGAGTTGTGCTGGTGGTGGTAGTGGAGGGAAGGTATGGTGGTGGTTGTGGATGGATGGTGTGGTGGTGGTTTGTGGATGGATGGTGTGGCAGTTGTGCTGGTGGTGGTAGTGGAGGGGAAAGGTGTGGTGGTGGTTGTGGATGGTGTGGCAGTTTCTGGTGGTAGTGGAGGGAAGGTGTGGTGGTGGTTGTGGATAGATGGTGTGGTAGTAGTGGAGGGAAGGTGTGGTGGTTGTGCTGATGGTGGTAGTGGACGGAAAGTGTGGTGGTTGTGCTGGTGGTGGTAGTGGAGGGAAGGTGTGATGGTTGTGTGGTGGTGGTGGTAGTGGAGGGAAGGTGTGATGCTTGTGCTGGTAGTTGGAGGAAAGGTGTGGTGGTTGTGCTGGCTGGTAGTGGAGGAAGGTGTGGTGGTTGTGCTGTGGTGGTAGTGGAGGGAAGGTGTGGTGGTTGTGCTGGTGGTGGTAGTGGAGGGAAGGTGTGGTGGTTGTGCTGTGGTGGTATGGAGGGAAGGTGTGGTGGTTGTGCTGGTGGTGGTAGTGGAGGGAAGGTGTGTGTGGTTGTGCTGGTGGTGGTAGTGGAGGGAAGGTGTGGTGGTTGTGTGGTGGTGATAGTGGAGGGAAGTGTGGTGGTGTGCTGGTAGGTGGTAGTGGAGGGAAGGTGTGGTGGTGTGAGTGGTGGTAGTGGAGGAAGGGATGGTTGTGGTGGTGGTAGTGGAGGGAAGGTGTGGTGGTGGTAGTGAGGGAAGGTGTGGTGGTGGTAGTGGAGGGAAGGTGTGGTGGTGTAGTGGAGGAAGGTGATGGTGGTGGTAGTGGAGGGAAGGTGTGGTGGTGGTAGTGGAGGGAAGGTGTGGTGGTGGTATGGAGGGAAGTGTGGGTGGTGGTAGTGGAGGGAAGGTGGTGGTTGTGGTGGTGGGGAAGGTGTGGGGTTGGACTGTGGTGGTGTGGAGGAGTGTAGTGGAGGAAGGGAGGTGGTGTGTGGAGGGTGTGGTAGGGGGAAGGTGTTGTGGTTGTGCTGGTGGTGGAGTGGAGGGAAGGTGTGGTGGTTGTGCTGGTGGTGGCAGTGGAGGGAAGGGTGTGGTGTTGTGCATGGTGGTGGCAGTGGAGGGAAGGTGGGTTGGTTGTGCTGGTGGTGGCAGTGGAGGGAAGGTGTGTGGTTGTGCTGGTGGTGGCAGTGAGGGAAGGTGTGGTGGTTGTGCTGGTGGTGGCAGTGGAGGGAAGGTGTGGTGGTTGTGCTGGTGGTGGCAGTGGAGGGAAGGTGTGGTGGTTGTGCTGGTGGTGGCAGTGGAGGGAAGGTGTGGTGGTTGTGCTGGTGGTGGAGTGGAGGGAAGGTGTGGTGGTTGTGCTGGGGTGGCAGTGGAGGGAAGGTGTGGTGGTTGATGCTGGTGGTGGTAGTGGAGGGAAGGTGTGGTGGGTTGTGCTGGTGGTGGCAGTGGAGGGAAGGTGTGGTGGTTGTGCTGGTGGCCGAGCTGGCTGGTTGAGTCAACTAACAGCTGCACACATGTAGTCATATCAAAACTTGCATGGCTTTTCCCCACGTCACCACAGTTCTATTCCTGATATTTCTTGTACAGACAACTTCGTGGTAAATATTCTCGCAGTACTGTGTACACCTCGCCTTCGTAATCAATCGCAGGCGCTTTTAATTTATGAAAGTTGTGCGTGAATCGACAGAGGCGGTGAGGACCTAGCATCGATCACGTCTTTCCTCCGCCGGCGTTGGAAAACCCTCGAGCCGTGCTCTGCGCTGCCGGAGATTGCCCACACTTTTATACCTTATTATCCCTCAAACCTTAATACATGTAACTGCCCCTCGCAACCTCTCAAAATGGGAGATGTGAGGACAAATATAACCATTATTGGTTAGAATATGGAGGATAATGGAGAGTAAGTGTGGCACACATGGGACTGGTAGGCGGGACTCTTACGTCTGGCATGGAGCTCACTAATGCGCCCGGCTGCGCTCTGCTGCCATCTGGCGCCGGAACCCTCACTAACAAACAACCTGATTAATCACTTTTACACCGTGTTTTCTATCCATTTGACGCAAACCATGAGTACATATGCCCCGCGGAACGTTCACGGAAAATCAAAGTGTGGCTACAGTGGGCGTAGAAGGCGGTAGAGAGGATAGGAAGAGAGGAATATGGAATAAAAAAGGCCAGTGTTGGGTGGATCTGGGACCGCGCCACACTCCCTTGTTCATAGCGGCACACACTCGAGTAACGCGGCTTGGGGGTACGCTCTGCCGCTTCCCTCACACTTTTCTCGCCCAAATTTAAGGGTTTAGTGCCGAAAATGTGCCTAAAATGTCGCCCAGGACCTGGATCAAAGTGTAGTGTGTGATGTGAATGTGAAATAACGACGGAAAAGTGAAAAATTAGTGGTGAATTGGAGGTGATTGTTGTAACTGGCTGTGGTGAGATCGGTTAGTCGCGCCTGCAGACTGTGGCGCACTTTTTGTAATACAACTGGAAATTCTTGTATCAGCCATGGTGTACAGTACTTGTCGAGTCTAAAGTGTTAGCTAGGTGCAGTACCAGGCCGGAGGCTTGTGTTGGTGGTGGTGATAGTGCCGTAGGAGTGTTGGTGAAGGCGCAGTGTTGGCGAGAATTGGGGTGTTGGTGGCGGCGAGGCTCGCTCACTCTCGCCGGGCAGAGGTCTCCTTGGTCGATACCGGCCGCCGCTGTGTTCCCTCACAACACACCCACTTATTTTATCCACCACGCCGCCCGTACGCCCTCTCCTGCACGCCCACGACCACCACGCACCTTCCATCTAGCAGCCACGCCCGCCACCGCACGGATCTGGAGTCTCCCAGAAGCTACACACAGGTAAATGTTGGCGCTTGTGTTGGGGGCTGTTAGGGTGTAGAAGCTCAAGCTGGCCTAGTTACTCTTGGTTTATACTGTGTTGGGGATGTGTTGGAGGTTTGTTGGGGGAGTGTTGAGGCTGGGAGATGATGGGGGATCAGGTGATCCCCTCACCACGTACACAAGTCGTTGGGTATGGGTTAACGGGTATGGGCGTGCTTGGGGCGGGTTTGCGGGCGTGGTGTGGGCGTGGTGGGGTGTGTGAGGGCAGCGTGGGTTGTGTGTGTGTTCATCAGCTGATACCACCATCACCCACCCCAGTTTTTGCATGGCGGCCCGGGTGGTGGCGCTCAGACGGGGAGGCGGCCAGCAGGGGTCGGCGAGCGGGCGCTCAGACGGGGAGGACACCCACCACCACCGCCACATACTAACTTCAACAACATTTTTTTCCAAATTTCAATATTATTCCCTCTTCTAACTCCCCTCTGACCCTCCCTAAGCACCCTAGCAAGATATCCCAAATGGATTTTGCGTTTTGAGCGAAGTAGAGAGTAAGTGAAACAAGCAAAGGTGCAATATGCATTACATGTCAATTATTTACTTTCATGTCAGGCCGCCTTACGCACGTGACACGTTGTAAACAATGACAGCGTGGTCCGCAACCCTTAAACGTTTTTCCATCACTATCTTTACCTGCAAACTTACTCGCGAATAGGGAATAAATAGTTGGCTTGATGGGGGTGCGGGTTACGCCATTCTTGGCGGAGGGTCGAATGGTAATTGTTGATTATTAAAAGGATTGGAGGTTCTTGCCCAAAACTGCTAGCCCACGTGCTCTGCGCCCGCATGTCCACTCCTACTCAACGTTTTCCCCGGCTCATTTGAACGTTTTTTCGCAGAGGGGAATTAGGCAAATGTGGAGTAGGTTGGCAACATTTTGGTGGGTGAGTGGTGGTGGTGGTGGGGAGTCTTTGTTTGTTGAGGGCTGGGGGCTAGTGCCTAGAGCTTGATGGGGCTAAATGTGTAGGTCTGTGTGCTCTGCTGGCTGTTATAGCCATCTGGGTGGATAGAGAGACTTTGATCCTCATGGATGCAGATATGTGGACCTTGTGCATCACAGCCGCCCACCATCCCCCGCCACGCCTGCCCGACCCTGCTGCTGGTGATGGTGGCAGCCAGGCCTCGCTCCCTCCATGCCTGCCTGCCTCCCTCTCTCTCCTTGCCTGTCTGCCTCCCTCTCTCCCCCTGCCTGTCTGCCTCTCTCCCTGCCTGTCTGTTTCTCCCTTGTCTGCCTGCCTTCCTCCATTCCTCCCTCTCTCCCTGCCTGCCCATCCCAGCCAGTTTCCCTTCATCCTCTGCCAGCCTACCTCCCTTCTTGTCTTTCTGCCTGCTTCCCTCCCTATCTTTCTGCCTGCCTGCCTCCCTCTTCCTGCCTGCTTCCCTCCCTATCTTTCTGCCTGCCTCCCTCCCTCTTCCTGCCTGCTTCCCTCCCTATCTTTCTACCTGCCTGCTTCCCTCCCTGTCTTTCTGCCTTCCTGCCTCCCTCTCCCTGCTTGCCCCCTGCTTTACCTGCCTCCCTCCCTCCCCAGTCTGCCTGTTCCCTCCCTCCCCAGTCTGCCTGTTCCTCCCTCCCCAGTCTGCCTGTTCCCTCCCTCCCCAGTCTGCCTGTTCCCTCCCTCACTCTGCCGACTTCTTCCCACCCTGCCTGCCTCTTCCCTCCCACCCTGCCTGCCTCTTCCCTCCCACCCTGCCTGCCTGACCGCCTCTTCCCTCCCACCCTGCCAACTTTCCTCCCACCCTGCCAACTTTCCTCCCACCCTGCCAACTTTCCTCCCGCCCTGCCAACTTTCCTCCCGCCCTGCCAACTTTCCTCCCGCCCTGCCAACTTTCCTCCCGCCCTGCCAACTTTCCTCCCGCCCTGCCAACTTTCCTCCCGCCCTGCCAACTTTCCTCCCGCCCTGCCAACTTTCCTCCCGCCCTGCCAACTTTCCTCCCGCCCTGCCAACTTTCCTCCCGCCCTGCCAACTTTCCTCCCGCCCTGCCAACTTTCCTCCCGCCCTGCCAACTTTCCTCCCGCCCTGCCAACTTTCCTCCCGCCCTGCCAACTTTCCTCCCGCCCTGCCTACTTCCCTCCCGCCCTGCCTACTTCCCTCCCGCCCTGCCTACTTCCCTCCCGCCCTGCCTACTTCCCTCCCACCCTGCCTACTTTCCTCCCACCCTGCCTACTTTCCTCCCACCCTGCCTACTTTCCTCCCACCCTGCTACTTTCCTCCCACCCTGCCTACTTTCCTCCCACCCTGCCCACTTTCCTCTCACCCTGCCTACTTCCCTCCCACCCTGCCTACTTTCCTCCCACCCTGCCTACTTCCCCCACTCCCCTGCCTACTTCCATCACTACCCTGCCTACTTTCCTCCCTCCCTGCCTACTTTCCTCCCTCCCTGCCTACTTTCCTCTGTCCCTGCCTACTTTCCTCCCTCCCTGCCTACTTTCCTCCCTCCCTGCCTACTTTCCTACCGCCCTGCCTACTTTCCTTCCTGCCTACTTTCCTTCCACCCTGCCTACTTTCCTTCCACCCTGCCTACTTTCCTCCCATCCTGCCTACTTTCCTCCCATCCTGCCTACTTTCCTCCCATCCTGCCTACTTTCCTCCCATCCTGCCTACTTTCCTCCCATCCTGCCTACTTTCCTCCCATCCTGCCTACTTTCCTTCCATCCTGCCTACTTTCCTCCCATCCTGCCTACTTTCCTCCCATCCTGCCTACTTTCCTCCCATCCTGCCTACTTTCCTCCCATCCTGCCTACTTTCCTCCCATCCTGCCTACTTCCATCACTACCCTGCCTACTTCCCTCACTCCCCACTACTTGCTTTCTTGCCCGCATCCTCCTTATCACTTCCTTACCTCTGTCCTTCCCTTCTTCGGTGCTCTTATCTCCATTTCCCTCCTTCAATGCCCTTCCCTTTTGACCCCATCCCCTTTAGTGCCCTTAACGTAGCCCCTCCTTGGAACATTAACTGCCCTAACTCCGGCCTTTATTTCCCTCGTTCTCTGCTGTTGAAATTTTTGAGATGCTAGTCAGGTCACTTGTGACGTATTCCAGGGTCTGCTGATTAAGCAGAAGGTTGACCTTTTCTCAATTAGTGAGGTACTTTATGAAGTATATCTTCTTTACCTACGGTTGGCGACAGGATCCATCACTGTATAAACTTACCTTTTTTTCGCTTTCCCGTGAAGGTTATAGTACTGATGACGGATGTGTGGATGGGAATACCAGTAATACTCCAGGTATACTCCAGGGGAGAGAGAGACTTGCCAAGCAGAGGCCAATACGCCTGTTCTTAATTTTATGTATTAGGTTGGTTTAAATAGGATCTGCCTTTATGTGAATTAGTAGATCTGCGTAAAGACAGTGCACATGGCACATTTATTTTAGAGGAATTTTAGCTTCTAAAATAAAGGCTTGCTCAAAATTACGAGTGTATACCCACTTATAAGTTTTTTTTTTCCCCGTCACCATATAGACCTACTTGCTCGTACGAGGTGGATCCTACTATCGTCCGACTTAATGCTGTAAAATAGTCCCTGAAATCGTCGCCTAGTAAACGTTAGATCACACTAATGTTGGCAAGTTCTTCCCCAGCATTTTATTGGTGTGTCTGTTGTGAAATGTTGAAAATATTTATTTTCTTCTCATTCATTCAATTGAGACGCGTTAGTGAGCAATAATTGTGGTGTATCCTAGATACCGGTGGCATAGCTAACTATATTTAAACTTTTCCTGAGAGGGAGAGGATATAATGGACAAAATCTTCGTGTTCCATTGATGTTTTAGTCGCTTTGTACAGCAAGCGAAGCCTCATTAATGATGGCGTGATGAGTAACTATCGATAAGTGAGTGCCAGGTAGGAAGTGATCTAGATAATGTGACGTAACTTATCAGTACTATCACCAAGTGTCATTTGCGTTTTTGTGTGTAGAGAGAATCAAGTAGACGAAAATATTATAATCATATTGAAGTGATAAGCTTGTTGGAGGTCATCAGCGCCTGAGAGCGAGAAGTAATCACGTTTCTTTCAAGAAAGTGGAGGATGGTTAATTCCTTGGGTCAAGTTGCTCTTCAACAGCATCAAGTCATCCTTGAAGGGTAGACAATAGTTGTTCTGTCGAGTAGCACCGGAATTGTTTAAATAAGGTTAGCATAATATCTGGCTCTAACGTTATTTTTTTTCTCATTGTTTTTAAGGAAATTACAATGTACTTAAGAGATTGTGGAACCCTTTTTGTTTTAGGGCTGTAAAGTATTAGTTGCAGCGGGTATGCAGAAAATTTTTGAGTTTAGGTAGGACAGTAGTTGCTGTGGTGTGCGATTGTGGAGCGTTTTGGACGTGCTAATGATCTCGGGTGTGTTGAAATGATGTTGAGGTAATTGAAGGTATTTATGGATATCTGGGAGAGGCAAGTTTTGTCTAGCCACTGGGGATGTTTGGGTGAAATTGTTCGTATACAAATTAGGTGATGGCGGATGTGATAAGTGTTAGGGTTGGTAACTACAGTCTTTGGTTGTTACGGCGAGTGGTGGGGGAAAAGTGGTTGTTGTGGTTAGAATTGGGGGCCGCTTTGGATGTTGTGGTGGAGAGAGTTGCGAATCTTGGGGCAAGACTTAGTTGTGGGGAAGGAGACATGATTGTGGTGAGTGGTGGGGTAGACTGGGGTGTTGTGGAGAGTGGTGGGGTAGACCGGGGTGTTGTGGAGAGTGGTGGGGTAGACGGGGTGTTGTGGAGAGTGGTGGGGTAGACTGGGGTGTTTTGGAGAGTGGTGGGTAGACCGGGGTGTTGTGGAGAGTGGTGGGGTAGACTGGGGTGTTGTGGAGAGTGGCGGGTAGACTGGGGTGTTGTGGAGAGTGGTGGGTAGACTGGGGTGTTGTGAGAGTGGTGGGTAGACTGGGGTGTTGTGGAGAGTGGTGAGGTAGACTGGGGTGTTGTGGAGAGTGGGTGGGGTAGACTGGGTGTTGTGGAGAGTGG